AGGGAGGCTGTGGAGGCTCCTTCCCTGGAGATCTTCCAACCAGCCTGGATGCCGCCCTGTGCCCCTGCTCTGGGTGTCCCTGCTGGAGCAGGGCTTGGACTGGGTGATCCTTAGAGGTCCCTTCCAGCCTCAACCATTCTGTGATTCATGTCACATGCTTCACAGCTTGTCTTCTGACTTCTGGCTGGACCTGAAAGATCTTTTCCAACCATAATGATTCTGTGATTCTATGAACGTTAAACTGGGGTTTTAGAGATGCAAGTCCTGATTCTCCTTCTCTGGGACGCTGGTTAGCACCGCCTGGGGATTCGGTAGCCATGGGGACAGGGCAGCCCGTGCCCGTTGGGGTCCCCTCAACAGCCCATGCGTGAGGAGCAGGGTCTCCCTCGAGCTCGGAGCCCAGGTGAGTGTCCCCAAGGGAGGACACCTCCAGCAATCCATCCCTGTGCCAGGCAGAGGGCTGAGTGTTTGGGAACGTGTAAAAGAGCTGGCCAGAAGGAAACATCTCCCAGGGCACTTGGGGTTTGTTTACCCCTTGTTTACTTGCATGGCCTTGGCTATGAGCAGATCTCAATGTTCTTTTGAGGTTTCTGGCAACTTTCAGCTCCCCAGACTCTGCTTTTGGTTTGGAAAATGGGTGTTATTATTATTGCTAATGGCATCAAGGGCACTGATCAGTGCAGAGCTTTTGCCCTACCAGTGGAAGTGTGAAGCACCTCTGTTAGTGCTCCCTTGGCTTGCTGTCCGAGCAGAGCCCCATGGCCCCTGTCCTGGGGAGGACGTGGAGCCGAGCGGAGCCTCCTCGGCTTTGTCCAAGGGACTTCTGAGCCCAGGATGCACCAAACAAACCATTTTGACTCATCTCCCCAGCGTTTTTCAACAAAACTCGGCTTTATCAGAAAACCGTTGTCCTGCCCGAATGCGGATCCTTCTTTACCTCTTTTGGAAGATGTTGATGGGCATCTCCTTCCCCGCGGCCGCAGCAGGGATAGCAGCTGGCCATGCAAACGGGGGAGAGGGGGATACCCCGAGGAGCGGTGGCTCTAGTCCCTCTGAAGCGTCATCAAGCCTCAGGATGACATTTTGTACCTGTCTGAGCACCCGCTCCTGCAGCTTTGGGAGTTCAGTCCAAAATGTGGCTCTGAAGGAAACAAGAGAAAAAGTCCTTTTCCTCAAATGAATAAATGCAGTTCAATTTACTGTTCATCACTCTTTGGACCCAAGACTGCGGAAAGCTATTCTAAGGCAATTATTTTGCCAAGATTGGGACAATTTGAGTGGGTTTCTGTGATTTATTACCATGCCAAAGCAAGGCACATAACTGAAAATTAGTACTCGAATGGCTTTATGATATACTCTGTCTCTCAGCTCAGCTCATTTTTAGTCTATGCCATTATGTGAATTCGTGCTGTGCGGTTGCATAAAGACCCTGAAATTAAGACTTTTGGCTATGAGTTCGGTGCTCCCCTTAGTCCTTTCAGGTTAAAACCAATATTCTCATATTTCCCAAGCATGTGCTCTGACACACCTAGCAGGAACCGCTCCCAACAAGGATCCGCCACCGGGATGCGTTTGGTCCCGGGCTACGGATGCAGGTAAAGAACTGGCGAATGGAAAAAAAAACCATGACAGGATGGAAAGGACACCTTCATTTCACCAGGAACATGAATGCAAAAAGTAGGTCACCTCTTAAATAAAAACGCTCACCG